TCAGATCGTGTCCGCTATCTAAATGATCATCAACAGTGGAAGTGTATTTCATTCATAGTGATCATCAGTTCACTATGTTTCTGCAAACTGTTAAGAGGATTACGGCAAAAACATTGATGCAAGTTTGAAGGATATAGAAACTAAATAAGGATACAAATTAAAACAGGGAAGCATAAATCAGATGTCAGTTCCCAACAAAAAGCCCAATTACACATGCCTATTTTTTATCAGTATCCTTAATATGTGTTCAAGAATATATCTTTATATTTCCACAGAGATGCCAAGCCATATAGGAAACACATCATATGGAAACAAAACGAATGTTTTTCAATGAAAGGAAACAAGTGAGAGTCAACCTATCATCTGGAAGTAAAAGGTTAGCCATGCAATATAATATTCATTCAGAGCTCAGTCAATTCAGGATGCACCAATGGACAGAGTTTAAAGCCAAAAATGGCAATTACTGTTGGAAGTCTCACTGTAGAGAAAAGGAAGTCTTTCTATGTTGTAATGGTTAACACCAGAAAGTAACACAAGGTCATAAATCTTGACATTCAACCAGCATCCTACCTGCCAGTAAGTGAGAAATACAACAGATTTGATTATGATAAACTTTGGGACTGGATTGAATGGCTGAAGCAAATCTCTGCAAGCAAGATAAAACACCGCCAAGGCATAAAGTGCAACCGAGTATGAGATCGTGTAGATAATAGTAAGATAGAGGTAGGATTGCCTTGGGTTGAAATTTCCATCTCGATAATTCCCTTTTGTGTAAAGAATAAGTGTTACTGCAACTAAAATGGGTTTGAGGATCACAAATTGCAGACATCCTTGCTTGCACCTTCTTATGAAGCGTCTGCACAAGTTGAACAACCATATAAGGTATGTTGTTAACCTAATTAAAAGCAAATGCAATCTTCAAATATGGAACCACGAGCATTAATTAGGAAGAAAACACATACTAAATACGAAAAAATATTTCCAAACCACAAAATGCTTTTAACATATAGCCAATAACAAGGCATAAATTATAATATCCAATTTTTGAGCCATTGAACTATTGAACATTGTTCAATGGGGTGCCAGAAAAAGTTTGGGAAGCATAATGGCCTTAAAACTCCTTGAACAACTAACAGAAACAAAGAATGTTGTGAATAAAGTAAAACATAATGTCCCTCNCAACATAAGGGTTGACTTCCCAATTATAAGCAACGTTTTGATAGATGATGCAATGGATCAATTTTTCTATGGTTTGACTAAGATATGGAGACTTCAGATCCAAGAATTGAGCTGTAAACAAATTAGCGAAAGACAGGTGGGAAAACTCTCAAGTTTAGGTACAAGATTGATAAAGAAACTAATCAACCACTATTTTGCACGTGCTATCTTACAACGTAAGCTTTTGATTTTCTAACATGAATACAGTCAGCTTCTTATCACTTTTGGCAGAATTTCAACTGAATTGAAAATAAGTTTGTTCAAACTTATAAGTAGCTCATTATCAGCGCTCGCCTATAACATACACTATCAAGATTATCGATGTAGCAATTATGAATACCATGAAATGCATACCGTTAAAAAATTATGCATCCCATAAAAGGAGTTGTTAAAATTGACCTCAACTTTTAAAGAACCAAACAAGCACTAAAGAAAATGATTAAAACATGAACATATGAAAGAAAAATGGAAGCCCGATATGGAAGTCAACACAAACTTCGGGGTTGCAGCACGTTTCCGTCTACCAGAATAAGATTCGAGTCCAGATGAAACCAAACATGATATAAAGTAGTTGTAACATGGAATTCCAGCAAAGAAAGCAAGCAAAATTTAAACGAAAGTTCAATGTTAAGAAAAGCAAGCAGTGAAAGAGTTCAGACACCAAAGAATGATGTATAATATTGAACTCACAGAGTTACAAGCAAATGCAACCAAGAACTCAGTTCGAATGTACAACAGAATGGTACCTAAAAGTTTTTATGCTGAACCAACAGAAGAAAAAGTGTGAAATGTATTTCCTACATGTACAAATCCTACTGTCATCCAATGATAAAAAGAGTATAGATTGGTGGTTTTCCATACTAAACTGGTGAGAATTCTGAAACCAATATATCACTTCGCATCACCTTGTCCCATCTTCTTTAGCAGCAGGCACTTCTGCCGGGTAATTAGATATGTCTATGTCAACAAGGGAAATGTCATAGGGATCAGAATGCATATTTGATGCGTCCATGAGTAATGACGAGTCCATTGCCTCTGATTTTACAGAATCGTGTACAATTCCAGAATTTTGAGGAGTACTGCTGCCTGAAGATGATAGACTGGATAACTGTATATCTTCCAACTTGTTACCTATCATGTTTTTGTTTTTTCTTACGGTATCCATTTCAAGGCCAGTTGGGACAAAAGTCCGAGCCCTATATTTCCTGGCACCCTCATCACCCTCACTGTGGTTGTAGAGCACATAATCGTGATATGTTGGTGCAAACTGTATGATGAAAAAGAAGACACCAAAGGAAATAACAGTTAGGGACTATAGAATAGATTTTGTTCCTAAAGGAGCACGTGAACAAAGTAAAATGGGTGTAAATTGCAATATCACCTGGTGGACAGTATCATGGTAAAAGTCATTAAATTTCAGAGCATGTGAGATGCTTGCTGAAAAGTCGCCAGAAGTACCAATATTTGCACCAGCATACTCCTTGTAGGGGAATGCATAAAGATGACCAACAGCTGCAATAAGCATCTCAACACAAATTATAAAATTTTGAAACTCTGCAGCTTCCTCTGTATTCTTTATCAATCCAGACTTCGCAGCAAGAAAAACCAAAACACCCTGCAGATTAGAAGAAACACTTTCAGAAAATTAATTAAACAGGTCTAAAAGCAACTTTTGGGTCTCAAGCTCCCAATGAACATGGTTTGACCACGGGTCTTCGCACACAACAGCCATGTAGTTTGTCATGAGTGACTCTCAGATCGTGTCCGCTATCTAAATGATCATCAACAGTGGAAGTGTATTTCATTCATAGTGATCATCAGTTCACTATGTTTCTGGGTGAATAGCTTCAGACTCATATATGGGTGCCAATGAACATGGTTTGACCACGGGTCTTCGCACACAACAGCCATGTAGTTTGTCATGAGTGACTCTCAGATCGTGTCCGCTATCTAAATGATCATCAACAGTGGAAGTGTATTTCATTCATAGTGATCATCAGTTCACTATGTTTCTGGGTGAATAGCTTCAGACTCATATATGGGTGCCAATGAACATGGTTTGACCACGGGTCTTCGCACACAACAGCCATGTAGTTTGTCATGAGTGACTCTCAGATCGTGTCCGCTATCTAAATGATCATCAACAGTGGAAGTGTATTTCATTCATAGTGATCATCAGTTCACTATGTTTCTGGGTGAATAGCTTCAGACTCATATATGGGTGCCAATGAACATGGTTTGACCACGGGTCTTCGCACACAACAGCCATGTAGTTTGTCATGAGTGACTCTCAGATCGTGTCCGCTATCTAAATGATCATCAACAGTGGAAGTGTATTTCATTCATAGTGATCATCAGTTCACTATGTTTCTG